CTCTCTTTGAGATGGGGAATGTGTACTGCTCTAATCCTTTCTGTGTAAACATTAAATAGAAGGAAGATCTATTTATGCAAAACGCTGGCACAAGAACAAGCATCTTTAAGCTAGCTGTGACTGTGTCTAGCTTGGAAATTAAAAGGTGTCAAAAAAAATTCGAGGATCTTTTAAAACACTGATCCTTCAAAAAATGGCACAGTGGAGAAAAGAAATAAGTGAACCAAGGCATATATTTACCACTTTATGAACAGAAATACATTATGAGGACTGTTTGAGAGCTAGAAGGTTCCTGATGGTCATCGGTTCCGTGCAGATGAGCCAGAAGACTCTCCGATGCATTCACTGTTCAGTCAGAACAATGCAAGTATATTGTTGTTAAATTCCTTGGACTGTTCTGTGGCTGTTTCCAGAAAGAGGAGGGCTATATACAACATGAACCTTGCCAATATGAGACAAGTTCAACATAAACAGTTTGTTAAAATCAACTAGGATCCACGGGCTGCACACAGATCCCCAGACATCACAGCAGATATATCGAAGGCAGTGTACCAAGATGGCTTTCTGGAGAAACCAAGAGGCTTTTCAGGGTAACCAAATCCAGCCCCACACTACCAGAGATATTACCATGCAATCTTTTCCACAATCAAACTCTGTCCTGAATATAAGTTTATATTACTTGCTCTCATAACTTCTCTCTGCAGATAACTAGAAACATATTTCAAAATTTTTAATTTCCCTCTATTCATAGGACAAATTTATTCAGTAGATTTATTGGCAGGTTAAAGCAAAGAGAACTGGCAAGTTAAACATGATTATTCGCATTGAAGCAGAGCAATAAGACCTCACAGGACTTGTCCAGTTACCTGAAGTGACAGCTGGACATTAAGAGCTGTGCTCACCTCAGTCTTATTCTGCACTGTTAAGAGATGATGAGTAACATCTTCAAAAGCATCTAAGGATCTTTCATCAATGTGGCTAACAATATTTATAGCAACCAAAAAGTTCTCCCTGAAGATAATGAAATATGAAGAAATCCACAAACCATCTGAGCAGTATAACTGGAAGAGTTCACGTACTATGAAGGCTGTTACGTAAAAATGCCAGCAAAGCACTTAATTACTAAAGTCCAACTCTCTGAAGTAACTACATGAAAGCAACACTCTCTTACTTCAGTATCCTTTTTCCTGGATGTAAACAAAATTAGACCTGTCAATTATTGTGACCACAGTACATTTTATTTACCACTTTTTATTTTTGCATTGTGCAACATGAGCCATACTCCACGCCTCCTCTTGATGCTCCATAAACAGTTTCAGGGTGTCATAGCTTAATGTGCACAAACCTGCTGAGAACAACGTCTACAAGAACATCACTAAATAGTCAAATTGCACTCAAAAAACTCACTTACAGGATTTCAGAAGACAGCAAGGTGTCACTTCACTGTCAAATTCCAAGCTGAGTTTACAGAACTACTAGGGGGGAAAAAAAATCATTTTTACTACCAAGGATTTATAATATGCAGAAGTCAAATGACAAACCTTCACAATGGCATTTTCAGATTTCCAAGCAGTAAGTAGTTCAGATTGTAAATAGGTGGTTTCATTTATCAAAACATATGCCAATCTACCAGAAATGAAACTGTACAGGGATAATAAGAAGCCTGGCTGACTGCAAACTGCTGAAAGATAAGACACACTGCTAGATCAATCATATTTGAACCTTGCTGGAGGTAGATGAATCCAGAAGCAATAGTCTTGGCCTGGCAATTAAATTTAAACATAATCATCATCTGGCAGACTTAAAATCATAGTTTAGGATGCCATCACAGCATGCCAACTACTCTCCTGTTGCCCTTGCACTGGCACTGGGCAAGACGCAGTCACTGCAAACAACGTTACTTTTTGATTTCCTGGTTCCTTCAGCCAAGAGGGTTTGAGAAAGTTCTCATAGCCATGATTGTTTTATTCCATTTTATCCTCAATACTTGGGATATACATCCTTCAGCTGGCTCATTTTTAAATCACTTCAGTACTTAAACTGTCACAGTTGATGCATAATCTGACACCACAGAGTCATAGTTTGAATATTTCAGTTCTATTACTTTTAATTCTGTACCAGTTAATCATATTTTATTTAAAGGTAAAATGTTAATCTTCTGATGTTAAAAATCATCATACTTTACCTTTTTATGGTCGCATATTAAATGAAGGATACTTGCCAATTACCTAGAGCCTTCTTTTCAGGATTGAAATGAGAAATTGACAAGAGGTCAGCTCAGAATCTCCACAGTACAAGTCTGCTCTGCATACCAGAGGTGCTCTCTTTAAATTTCCCAGTACTTCACAACTGAGATTAGCACATCTCAACAATTCCTACCCTACTTTGGTGCATCCTATTTTAATCCCAAGTAAAAGGTATACCAAAAAACACCTCACTCCACACAGTTTCCTATAAACTGCTTGCATGCACTATTGCAGGCTCAAAACTGTAAGAGAAATACTTCAAAAAGTCAATGGTTCTCTCTGAGATACTGAAAGCAAATTTTTTGTTGTTGTTTTAATACTGCTACTTCTCATGACTTAAAATATAGCTCTACACACACCACCAGAATGAGGTCTTCGACTGCAAGAGTTTCCCAGCAGGGACTTTCGTCTCTATACTTGTCTGCATAGCAACTAGCAAATTGTTAATCATCTAAGATTAAAGACATTATAAGCCCAGAACCCATCAGAGCGTATCTCCAGTTTGCTCATGCGGCCCTTTATGTATAAAATATGCCTTTTCATTTCAGTCCAAGTACCCTTTTCCACTGAGGTGCCTCCTTCAAACCTTCTTCTATGACATGCTCAAGAGAGGCATTTTTAACTTTTATTTTTATGTATAAAACACAATGAAAACGACAAATCCATATGACACACTTCTCTCAGTGTTTTGTTTGACTCTAATACTCTTAGCCTTATTCAAGATTTTCAGGGATATACCATGTTTGTATTGTTCAAGCCTGAGGGCATCCATGAAATGCCGTAACTAAGCAATGCGCATACGTTTAACCTACCAGGTCACAAAGAGGCCAGCAAGCAGTACTCCAAATTTTTACATAAGCAAGCAGGAGAGAAGACAGTGGAGTTGCCCAATGACACATACAGTAGGTCCGTGAAAGCACAGAACCGCGCTAGAGATTCACTGGGTTTCCATGCTTATTCACATGGGTCATGACTGGCTCTTAACCAACACACTATACATCCTGATACTTAGTTTTTCCTGTGATCACCACTGTATTCTGCAGGTTGCACTCATCTGCTCTACCTTTGGCACTCAAAACTACAAGCAACTCATCCTAAGATAAAGATCATACAGAACAAGATGAAACATATTAATTTCATTTTTAAATGGAAAAAAAGGAGTGTGGTTTTGGTGATGCTGCTGACTTTCTTTATTAATTTATTTTTATTCCATCATTTCCACATCCAGAACTGCAATTACTGGCACTATCTCTTAGGTTTTTGATGCTCTGCTTCCACTGTTGAAGTCAGTATGAGCATCAAAGCTCTTAAATGCACATTAAGAACAAAAGCAACACTGATCTTGTAACAACTACCATCCCCTCTCAGTAAGGGAGGGCTCACATAACTCTGCCTGTCTCCAGAATTACAAAACCAGACAGATCTATTTTAAATGCAAAACTAAAAACCTGACCATGTGCAATTCCAAACGTACTTCTGCTGACAAGCACAGAGTCTAGCAGCTGAAACTTCTTCCTCCCTGAACCTTCTCTACAGTCATGGTCCGCTGCCAGGAAAGCTGGTCCATGGACCACTGCCTAGTTGGGCAACTTGCTAAGTAAGGCTCCGTGCCTTTACATACGAGGCAATCTCAAGGTTACAGTCTTAATTTTAACACATCATTACCTTGAGTTTTAGAAGACTCTTCCTTTCATGCGGAGGGTAGTCTCCCACCCTTCATAAAGGAGGTATCTGTTACAACATTTGAAAGTGACTAGTAGGAGTGAAAGCCAAGTTTCATTTCTTACAGATTCTTTAGAATGAAACAAACTATATCTAAAAAGTGCAGATATGCTTTTTTATTTCTTTTGCCATTCAGGGGAGGGGGGAGGGAAAAGCATCTCTGATTTGTATATTAAAGCACAAGCATCTGTCCTACTGATGATATTCTAGGGAAGCACATTAGCATAAAATTTAACGATGTCAAATAAGTGGATGTGAAATAGGGACTGCGTAAAGACACTATTTCCAAGCCTGACAGAAACATCACTGTTTAGAAATGCAAATGAAACCATTATGTTCAATAATTATATGAAAATATGAACAGTTCAGCATGTTTTCCAGCCCTGATGGCGGTTAATGGGATGTACGCTTATGTAAATAACTACTATTAAAGCTAATGCTGAAAAAAACTAATAAATTCATACTAAAGCAACTGATTTAGTACGCTTTTAAACCCCAGCAGTGCTCACTTATTAGAAAGGAGTGCATTCTTATGTTTAGAACTCATTACTGTTACAAGTCACTGCAACTCCATCAATTACCATGCATTAATGAAAATGGGACACATACAAAAAAAATTATTGCCTCTCAGCAGTTTTCTTTAAAGACAAAATATAGGGGTATTACCATCATGGGGCCTTGAGGGGAACTTATCAGCAACATAATCTTTATTGCTACAACTGTACTCCCTATGCTATAACCCTGGGGTATTCTTTTGTCCCAAGAAGGGGCTAATCTTTATGTACAACTCTTGACATACACGCAATGAAAGTGACCATACTGCCATCAGTAAAAATGTACCATTTTCACAATTAAAAATGCATTTAAATAAACGTATTCACATTAGTATGTGAACTGAAAAATGTTGACGTGAAATGAAAAACTACAATTCATGGAACTAGAGCAAGGAGGTGTAATGCAAATAGAATGAAGGATAAAAGGTACAGATCGAAGTCTTCTATAAAGTTCTTGTATCTGGATAAATTCCATCCAGTTTCACACTTCCACTTTTAACGACCTCCTAGAGAGCCACGGAATTAAGACTTCAAGCATGCTATTCATTCCTCTTTGGATGTTTTCTCCAATTCCTCGGCGTTACGCAAAAAATTCTTAGCCTTGGTTAAACATCACAACTGACTGAGGAAAGAAAACCAACACAGTGCTGTTATAGCAATGAATTCGTCCAGAAACTAAAAGCTGAGATTTATTGAATGCCTGTAACTCTGCAACCAACCCACTTTCATTTTCTAAGCAGTGTCTGAAAATAAGATCTTAATGTTAATATCCACTAGATCCTAAGAAGTTTACCAAGGCTTAAAATGTTTTTATATTAGTTTGCATTCACCGGCAGTTTAAAATTAAGGATGGGTTTGAACAACCTTGCAAGAGACTATGGCCAAAGAACTGATGCCAAATGGTGAAGACTCATATAGGACAGTTACCTGTCCAGTCTCAGCTGCTGTAGAACTTCAGTCCAAGATGGCATTCTGCTACTAAAGTCACAGTACAGACTCGTAACTCATCTGACTACAAAAGCATCATCAATAAGAACTCCATAGCAACAGACGGGAGGAAAGAAATAGTTTTAAGATTTCGTCATGCATGAACAGTGACAAAGTTCATACAGGCCAACGTCCAGTATAATAGCCAATGGTAAATTACTGCTATGTTTAAGTGCAATGTTCTTCCTACAGCATAAGGCAAAAATAAAGGCTACCCCAGCCTGTGAATACAGTCTAAAAGCAGGTAGCAAAACCAGCCTTTCAGAGGGCCAGCAGCTGACAGCAGACAACAGCAAACACACACGTGATGACAGCCACTGTGACAAACGTTTGATGGGAGGGCGGTGGAAGAAAAAACACAAAACTATCTGATTGCTTTCACTAAATGTCTGTTGAAAGAGAGGTATGAAGTGTTTTGCTATCTAGACCATTAAAATTATTTCATGAGCGAAGGCCACTCTAAGGTTAAAAACAGTAAGACAAATTTGCTACCGATTAATAATAAAGCCATTCATTTTATTCTTCAAATCTAAAGTAATTACAAGCCAGAGCATGGCAAATGGATTTAGCAGAAGCCATTACGTCAGAAGAATCCTTTAAAGAAGAACAGTAATTTAAAAGACTAAACTGAATAATGAACTCTCCTGAACAACAATTATTATGAGATTGATTTATTGAAAGTGTATTTAATCATGCAAGAAATGTTTAAACTTTCCAAAATAGTTCAGGAAGACACAGAAACCAATAGCAGAGGCAGCCCAACGTCCTCATTATAGTTGAGAAGCTGAAGCAGATGGAGAATTCATTTAGTTTGGAAGGATAAAGTACATCAATTTCTCTGAATCCACATTTCTAGTCAATTTGTTACAGTACCAGCTTCAACAATTAATGATCTCATTTTCCCATTTGTGCCTCCTTTTAAGAGATCTCAGTCTTTGTTTCCAAATGAGCCAAATGTCATAAAGGAAAATGTAACTCAAAAAAACATCACTTTGAAAGCTCACATGCCTAAAGCCAAATGTTTCAGCAATAGCCACAAAAGCAGCGGCCAAATTCAGCCAGGTAAGTAGCCTGGTCAGTTTAAGTCCTTGAAGAAAGAAAGATCAGCCTTTCACCTGACACACAGTCCTCACCAGCCTGACCTCTACAGAGAAATACTTTCTACCTGATCTACTTCAGGTTTTTTCATTATGATAACTGATGTTGATATGTGAGACGGCCATGGCTGAAGCTGCATTTCTAATTACAGATCTCTCTCTCTAAGTTCTGGCAAGGGCAGCTCATCATCATATCCAGTTTTGAGACCCACACCAGACAGTCAGTATAGATAATATCATGTCTGTGCTTAAGATACCATTCATCCTCCAGAGCTAGAAGACAGGTTGCCTGTGAAGCATATACCTACATACCAGTGGTTGTCAAAAACCTGGCAGAGCAGAACTCTAGCTCTTTAGCCAGTAAGACTGCAGCTCAAAACCACAAAGTCTCCAGTACCAGGAAGAGATCACCACAGTACAAAATTGTCACGAAACAGACAAGATGTGGAATGCTACTAGCCCTCAACACTCACCTCAGTGGGCCTTCAAAATTCTATGCCAGAGCTGCTAGGTGGGAAAGTCTTCTCCTCTTCAGTCAGCCACACACAGAACGTGATTTCACATTTCACAGTATAAATTACAAAGCAACTCTGCTTCTCTTATCGCACAGCTATATTTTTGTATTGACAGTACTATCTCACAGACAATCCTGCACCACTGAGTGTGGAGTTTTAGTGCAAAAAGCCTGTCTAGCTCATATTCTACAGAGGCTGACGTTGACTGCTTAGATGCTGCCTGTCAATTCTGGGTAATTTCATAACATGGATGTTGTGGCTCGCTTGTTCTCTAAGACACTAGCTAGGATTAAACATAGAAAGCTGAGCTTTAAATGAACCTCTAGTCATTGATCCATTTGAACACTCAACATTACAATATGTTTCACCTTGTTTTAGTTTAAAAGTTCATGAAAAATTCAAAATATCTTATTTACCCAATAGTCCTTGACTGATTCTTCTACATTTAAGAAGTTCTTAAATACATACATTATTTAGCCAATACTGCCATTACAGAATAGCATATAAATATTCAGGGACTTTTTAATAAGTTCAGCTTTTATTCAATAGACCATAATGGTTGCTTAGAAACATTTACTAGTAGGAAACCTATAATAACAGTAAGGGAAACACCTTCAAAGAGTGAAGCAGTTGGATAAAATGGAAGAAAGGAGCAAAATACTAATTTTTCATTCTCCTCACATGCCTTCAAACAAATTATGATGCACAAAAAGATACATAGTATGCATTCACATATGAAAAATAGGAAGGGAAAAAATATAAACTATAAGCTGAGGGAGTCAAGTTGAGAAATAAAAGAAAAACTATGATGGTCATTCCATTTCCTCAGTTCGTAACTTGTCAGAAACTATACTATCAGAAACCATACCATGGCAGGGGGGTTGGCACTAGATGATCTTTGAGGTCCCTTCCAACCCAAACCATTCTATGATTCTATGATTCTACAGAAACTATAACAAACACAAAAATCATCCTTAAACGTAGCCAAAGTTAAACTCTAAAGTTGTTACTGAGTTTTAAACAAATAGCCTGACTTTCAAAAGCACTAGGCACGAGATTCCTGCAAACAGCAATTTTTTCTGTATTCAGAAATTTCCTTCTTGTCTTTTATTATCTTGAGGGGGGAAACAAGGCAGGAATCCAACTTTCATATATACATGCTTAACTATACTGTTAATTTTCATACCTCATTTCTCTGTGACACTCTGTGCTGCCATTGTGAGCTGTCCTTTTGCAAATAGCAGCCCTGGGGATGCACATACATGCGTATCTGTAATGCACCACAGGAGGACCACACATTCAACAAAGTACATTGTCAAAGGCTTTCTATGCAAGACTTTTTGTTTTGTTTTTTCACCTGTGATGACAATTTGGTAGGTCAGATTAAAAAAGGAAAAGAAATAGAAGAAGTGCCTATTTCTCTCCCCATTTTCAGAAAAGAAAATTCAAATTAATAGATAAAAGTAAGTATGACAGAATAAATAAGTAAATTCTGTACTCTGATACCTGCTTTTCTATCATTTTGTTCTTTGGCATGAAGCAAGTCAGCAGTTATTTTTCTTCTGAAAAATAATACTAATACTACATTAACACAGAAAGACAGGAAAAGGAGAAAATATGTAAATAGCACTAATTTATGAGTATATGCAAGAGTAATGTAATGAACAGTACTACAGCAAAACTAGAAGTGTTTTATTAAAGACTCTAGATAATGCTTATAAGAAGCCCATTATTCTTCCAGCAAATTAATATTCTATGTCTCACTAACCATATCAGCAAATGAACTGTTTTAGTTAAGTTAATATTCATGTTAACCGCATGCAAAATCAACTAATTAAGTAGTCTTAAGTTACAATATTAAGGATATATGTAAACAGAGTCTGTGATCATTTTTAAGACTAGCCAAGTAAATCATATGAGATTCGTTATATGAACTTGGCTAGGTCTTGAAATCAACAGATCACATTCAGTCAGAAAACAATTCCAACAAAAAGCTAAAGGAATCCAGGTACATTCTAAATATAAACCAAAAGAGCAGTTTAGTAGGGCTGATGAGTTTAAAAGTTACAAAAAGAAAATAATAAGTTTATAATAAACAGAATCTCTTCTTTCCTTTCCCTCTCTATTCTTTGTCTCCAAAATTATAATTTCAGCATAACGTAGAATTCGATCACCATTTTTTTTTAATTTTATTTTAAGAAGTATGCTCTTCCCCAATTAATAAATCTTCACAGAAATGTTAAGGCTGTTTTTCCTTCTTCATTTATGCAACACCATCAAATTTAGATGAAAAAAAAATCCCTAATGGTGATAACAAGAAAAGCTAAAGACCATAACATAATTTATTTAGCCTTTGAAATAACAGTAGTATTTGTTTCTTAATACTCTCATTATTATCGCTTTTTTCTTAAGACATCTATCATGACAGTACTGGGGCATCTTACAAAAGATATTTTCCTATTTCTTAAATTAAATGGTATTTGGGACCTAAATTAATAATAGGTGCTTAAAAATATGCTGGGGGGGGGAGTAAAGCCAGCAGCTTTTTCTCTCAACAGTTCCTAGCAGAAGGAGAAGACGGGACAATGCAAGTAGCTTAAGAACGTATTCTGAAACACTCATCCCTTATTCTGACAATGCAAATGAAACAACAAAAATAAGAACATCGAAGCTGCAAGTCAAACACTCCAAAGGCAATGCCAGAATTCAGATTGCCACTAGAAGCACCGTTCAGTCACCCAGTATGTATCCATCACAATCTGGGGATATAGAAGCAAAGAAAAGTCAAATACTAAGAGCAGGTGCTGAGGAAGACACAGAGGTCAGTTACACATGGTGAGCCTTCTCACATGAGCTTAGACCCAAATTCTGTTTCAAAGTTTGGAGGGTGCCAGAATACATTGAACAGACACATCTCTGCTTTCACCAGCTGTCTCACAATCATCTGATCGATCCTAGGCCACACGCCTCCATCCTGGCTCTTCTTTAACCCTGACTGATTATCCCAAACACTTTTGAACGCATCTGTTACAGGCTTTCCTTCTTTCACATCAGCCATGCCCAGCCTAACCTCCTTTTCCACGTCTTTACTTCCAGACACGTTCTAGTTCTCGCTTGCCTGGTACAGCCTCCACTTACATCTTCCCCTCTACCTCCTGCTTAATCTTCCCTTTCAGAAGATTATTTTCTTCCACCGCTTTCCCACCCTTATAGCTACAAATGCTTCCATTGTGGAGGGCATCAAAAGAATGGGAGCAACTGTTACTGGATTTTCCAGTTTGGCCCGATTAGGTGGATTTTAATTAAGAACAGCAAAAGATGTCATCACAGCGCACACACCTCACACCACTAAGCATCACATCTCTAAAGAATGGTAGCACTAGAACTTTTTTGGAAAAAGGCTACAAAAGTTTATTAGAGACAATATAAACGTTTCATCATCTTTTGGTTTCAGAACTGGTTGGAACATGTAAGATCAAGTTTCTTTTGAAGGAAGTTGGTTTCAAATGGGTACGTCCTGTGAAAACCTAAGCCGAAATATCTACTTTTGACCAAACAAGACAGTATGACAGATTTAACAGTACTGCTTTAGGGAAAAGGAGTAGACCAGATGACTACCTGAAATCCCTAATTTTCCCTAATTCTGTCTGGCAACCTTCACAACAGGTTGGCCTATTTATGATTCACAGTGTGCTCATTAGGGTTGTAATCTATTAACTGCATGCCCTAGTAAGAACTACTCAAATTTTGAAGTTTCAACTGCAATGGAAGGACGGAATTGACTTTTAAGTTTGCATGAAATTTTAGTTGTTCCCTACTCAGACAGCACTGACCAATTCCAAAGCAAAGGAAGCTTAGGCTGCAGACAGATACTATTTTTTTAATACTGAAAATTTACTTAAAATTTTGCAGTAGATCACTGCTTACCACATACTCCCTTACCCACTAAAGCTTTTGTGATAGCTCATTAGCAACGAATTCAAACGAATGGGTCCACATAGCTTCTCAAAAAAAAAAAAACACACAACCACAACAAAATGAGGAAAATCTGCCTTTAAAGTAAGGATTTCAAGCACACAAAGCTTATCTTCACTGCAAGAGTCTTAATAAGAAAAAAAAAACCAAACAAAACACGTTGCTGAAAAAGAAACCCACCACCACTCCCCATGCTATTCAAATTAAACCTTTACCAAGTTGAAATTACACTTCGCTGGATAGCTGCAGTTATATCAGAAGCACCAATTTATTACTGTAGGATAATCTTTAATACTGGGCTAGATAAAGTAATTTTATAGAGAATAAATTAGCTTGGGGCAGGGGGGTAAGTAAAATTGATTTTACCAGACTTGAAAGCTTTTTCATATGGTATTATATCCCTGATATCTTATTTGCAAATGAATGTGGTACATTTCAGAAGAACTTGAAGAATTTCAAGTTGCTATACTTGAAAATAGCCAGAATCTATATTCAACTTTGGCAAGTCATTTCTACCATTTCTCGTCTCCGCAACACGCTTTAAGATAAAAAATTAAACATGAAGAGGTACGTTGAGGTTCTTGAATCATTCATGTATGATAGGCAAGTATTGCAGTTGTTAAAATTATATTGTTGTAAATTATAACCTTCTTTTATATTTCTAGGTTTTACAGAGTTTTATGAAGTGTAAAATTGCATGCATTAACCTTCTGCCACGTCTACCAGACTTCTGAAAAAGTATTCATGCTACTGCAATCTATTTCTAGTAAAGGAAAGAAAAACACCAAACAATCCACCTGCCCACCCCATCCCGCAAAAAAAAAAAAAACACAACAACAAAACAAAACAACACACAAAAAACAAGCAAGCATGCCTACTTCCCAGTATCCAAATAAACCTCAGACAAATTAGTGAAAGCTTTATGTGCATAAATTAAAAAACATTAATCAGGAACATACATCCCATCCGCATTCATGAGCTGACTGAATACACAAGACATAATATACGACAAAACACTGACTTCAGTGAAATCAATGTAAAAGAGTTGTAGTCACATCTAATGGCTCTTAAATACATCAGATTTAATACTTTCCAGGAACTGCTCCATGCTCGGCTAAGCTTGTTGATGTGTATATCATTTAGTACAAGCAGACCAAATTCTTCCTATCAATAGAAGTGCCACTGTGCTACAAGGAATCTTCTGGCACAAATACAGACTGGGCGGAGAATGG